CCCCCGACGGCAGCTTCCTCTGCACGACCTCGGATCACTGAGTCCCTTTCACCCAGCGGCAAAACGCTCGCTCTCGCCCCTCGCCCTTCGACACCGCCCCGTGTCTCACTCTGCTCCGGTGCTGTTTAATCTCCTCCGAAGACGAGAAGACGCCCCCCCCCCCACTCGGATATAGCCCCCAAGAGATTTCCGTCTTTGTGCTTTGCCACCAAACCACCTCCGTGTGGGCCTGCGTAGATGCTCCTCGCGAACGGCACTTGGCCCCGGTCGGAGCTTTGTCCTTGCGAGCTTCGCAGACCACGTGCGGATGATGTGCACTGGGAAACCTACTGCAAACTTGTTCTCGGCGTCAAAATAACCAAATCGGAAGACTCGTCAAAGAATGAAGATCTCGCCGCCTCCGGAAGAAACGGACGGACGGGCAGAAATGGGAACGTCCGCGCAGAGATCGAGTCGATGCGAGCAAGCGAGAGCGAGAGAGAGGAGAGAGCGGAGAGACAGCAGAGAGAGCAGAGAGAGCGATCAAGCGTTGGGAACACGATTGATTGCAAGACGAACGGACGTGAGATGTGATTTGAGACTGCGACGCGCTTTGACGGATGGATGAAGCTCCCACGTTGAGAAGGATGAACGGCATCCTCCAATGTCGAGTAATTACTCGCTGAGAGGTGGACTATCCGCGCGCGCGTGCGTGTGTGTGCGCTCGTGTGCGCGTGCGTGCGCGTGTTCAACGCACGCCCCGTGCAAGGTGAATTGGTAGAGCGCGTGACTGATGTCGAAATGGCGTGTGTGTACGTGTGTGTGTACGTGTATGTGTTAGTGTGTGTGTACGTGTGTGCGTGTGTGTGTACGTGCGTGTGTGTACGTGTGTGTGTACGTGTGTGTGTGTGCGTGTGTGTGTACGTGCGTGTGTGTACGTGCGTGTGTGCGTGTGTGTGTGTGCGTGTGTGAGGGGGGGAGGGAAAATCCCTCAGCCAGGAAAACATCGTGGCACAAAGTGAGGATGACCCTGCTGAGGCTGCGGTGCCTCAAATATTGGAAGAAGTCACCCCCTGTGAGTGGCTGACTGAGGTGCCATCTGCTGAGGAAGTATTGAAGGCGATCCGGAGTCTGAGACCAGGAAAGGCAGCGGGCAGAGATGATCTCCCAAGCGAAATGCTGAGGGAGGGTGGCGTTTGTGCACAGACTGCCCTATATGACATCATAACAATAGTCTGGACCACTGGACGGGTTCCGCAGGATTGGAAGGATGCCCTGGTGGTCCCCCTTTTTAAGAAGGGGGACCGCACAGACTGTAACAACTACAGGGGCATCTCACTCCTCAGTGTGCCGGGAAAGGTCGTGGCAAGGATTATTCAGCATCGCCTTGCCAGGCACGCTGAGGAGAGGCTTGCGGAGCCCCAATGCGGTTTCAGGAAAGGGCGGTCCTGCACAGATGCCATATTTTCTGTCCGTCTGCTACAGCAGAGGTGTAGGGAATTCCAACAAGACCTACATCTCTGCTTTATTGACCTGGTCAAGGCCTATGATACCATCAGTAGGCCTGGGCTCTGGGTCGTTCTTCGTGCTTTTGGAGTACCTGACCCTCTGCTCACGATCATTAAGGACCTTCATGATGGTGAGCGGGCCCGGATAAAACTACGTGGCCGGGAGTCAGAGCCATTCCCTGTACACCTTGGGGTGCGACAGGGATGTCCTCTGGCTCCCACATTATTTAACATCTATTTTGACCACGTAGTTTGTGAAGCCTTCAATAGCTGTACCGGGGGAATCTCCATATGGTACAGATGTAATGGGAGGCTAATCGATGCCCGGGTGCGGTCAAGGGATGGCTCCCTATTGCTCAACCACGTTATGTATGCTGATGATTTGGTAATAGCTGCTCAGTCAGAGGAGGAGTTGGAGACGCTGCTGCTGAGACTGGAGCGTGCCACTAAGAGGTGGGGCCTTACCATCAGCCCCACCAAAACTAAGCATCTGCCTGGGTATTTTGTACCATCGGACACTCCACCCCCACAACTCCCAATCGGTGATGGGGCAGTTGTGGAGAGAGTGGAGAGTTTCCCATACCTGGGCAGTGTGCTTATGACTGGCTCCAGTTTAACAGCAGAGGTTTCACTCCGAATCAGTCGAGCGGCAATATCTTTTCATCGGTTGCGTAACGCTGTGTGGAAGCTACCTGGTCTGTCGCTCCGCACTAAGCTTCAGGTCTTCTCGGCCACGGTCATTCCCTCCCTTCTCTACGCTTGCAAAACGTGGACCCCCCTAATGGAACATCTTCGCCGGTTAGAAACATTTAGGCTGGCCTGCCTACGATCCATCCTGGGTTTAACCAGACTGGATTGTGTGAGGAGCTTACAAATCCTTGAAAGATCTGGGCAGGGTCCCATCGGTGAGCTCCTCCGGCAGGCAAGGCTGCGATGGCTGGGTCATGTAGCCCGCATGCCCAGCCACCGCATGCCGAAACAGCTTTTGTTTGGCCGGATTGAGGGGGCTAAGCGGGCGCGGCACGGGCTAGAGAAGAGATGGAGTGATGTGGTACAGGAGGACGTGGAGCTGAGTCGACTTGCCGATGACTGGTACCAGCAGTGTCAAGATCGGCCTCTGTGGAGGAGGCTCGTGAAGGATGCTACTGGGCAGTTAGAGGTAGTCGCCCTCCAACAACAACGGAGGGCGGAGGAGCGACGCCCAGAACAACGAGCGGAGCGCCGGGTGGCTAAAGCACAGCAGGTTGGCACAGTAGGGGGCACAGGTGGTGCATCAGCCAGTCATCTCAGTCAGTCGACCCGTGGCACCTGCTGGGTCTGCCCCTTGACCTCCTGCCAGCGGGCGTTCGACACTTCACGTGGCCTCAGGGTGCACATAGCCTGGCACAAGCGTCGTGGTGACGTCACCGCCACTTAGTGGCGAATGGCGGTTGTTGTGTACGTTTGTGTGTGTGTGTACGCGTGTGTGTACGTGTGTGTGTGTACGTGCGTGTGTGCGTGTGTGTCCACGCGCGGGGAGCACCACGAACCGGACGACCTGGGATGCGATTCTCTCTCACGTCCAACACCGGTGACGGTGATCTGAACCGCTCATGGGCCTCCCCTACGTCCACTCAGCCTCAAATGAGTACCTGGTGCGTTGTGTAAACATCACCACTAGGAAGACAAAGGCGGCCGGGCATGGTGTTGGCCACCCACCCCCTCGTTGTGCAGTGCCGGCATTCATGGGTCTTCGCAAAGAGCACTTAATAGTCTGCTAAAGGCTATATGGGGGATCTTTGTATTTGTGCACCGAACCTGGCTTAAGAACCCTGGTGTTGTCCCCGCCAGTTATTAGCGAATGGCGACTGTTGTGTCCGGGTCTGTGGGGAGTGGTGGCGCAGTGGTTAGCGCGGCGATCCGAGTTTCGATTCCCGCTCACGACCAAATAAAAGCGGCGAATATTTAAACCAGTCCCTAGGCCTCCCCTAGTTCCACTCAGCCTCAAATTAGTACTTTGCTGCACTTGTCCCAGCAGACTGTGAAGGGCTACACGGGGGATCTTTGTCTTTGCTTAACCGACACCAGGGCCATCACATCTAGTAAACGATGTGACGGGCCGTAAAGGGTCAATATATGTTGCTGTAACGACAAAATGATGAATATATATACACACACACGCGCAGAAGAAAACCGGGCCGGTGTTGGCAGGACTTGCGAAAGCTGTGTCGGAGGTCGAATAGATTTCGTGTCGATTGTCAGGCAAAGCAGAAAGCAGCGGGGAGTCGGAAGAGAGGAGAGGTAAGAGAGTTGGAGAGAGAGAGATGGAGAGAGAGCGAGCTGGAGAGAGATCTGGAGAGAGAGATCTGGAGAGAGAGAGAGATGGAGAGAGATTTAGGACGTGGGAGAGACGCGCTTATGCGGTCGCGTAGTGATTAGTGTCGTAGTTAGTGTAGTAGTTGGTGTAGTATTTAGTGCAGTAGTTAGTGTAGTAATTAGTGAAATAGTTAGTGTAGTGGTTAGTCTAGTGGTTAGCGTAGTGGTTAGCGTAGTAGTTAGTGTAGTAGTTAGTGTAGTAGTTAGTGTAGTAGTCAGTGCATTAGTTAGTGTAGTGGTTAGTGTAGTGATTAGTGTAGTAGTTAGTGTAGTAGTTAGTGTAGTAGTTAGTGTAGTGGTTAGTGTAGTGATTAGTGTAGTAGTTAGTGTAGTAGTTAGTGTAGTAGCCAGTGCATTAGTTAGTGTAGTGGTTAGTGTAGTGATTAGTGTAGTAGTTAGTGTAGTAGTTAGTGTAGTAGTCAGTGCAGTGGTTAGTGTAGTGGTTAGTGTAGTAGTTAGTGTAGTAGTTAGTCTAGTAGTCAGTGCAGTAGTTAGTGCAGTAGTTAGTGTAGTAGTTAGCACATTGCGCTTAGGAAACCAACCACCCGAGGACGATTCCCGCTCGCGGTCAACACCAGTGACGATTATTTTATCAGGTTCCGGGCCTCTCCTAGGTCGACTCAGCCTCAAATGAGTACCTGGTGCTGTCCACCCACCCACTCGCGTACCCTGCTGGCCTTCATAGGCGCACCTCCAATTAGCGCGGTTGGCTACGGACGGGTACGACAGAAGTTCAACATATATACATACATACAAGCTAACACCAATTGACCACAGGTATGTTGACGCTATAAGGAGGATCTTTGCCATTGTATGTATGAGTGTAAGAGCTATGTGCGTACAAAAAATAGCACTTGCCCTAACAGTCTATTAAAGACGATTCAAGGCTTTCTTGTTTTTATCTTCGTGTACGTGAACACGTTCGTGTGCATGTGGCACGTGTACGTGTGGTGTGCAGGCTGCATCTCTCTCTCTCGATCTCTCTCTCTCTCTCGCTCTCTCTCTCACTATTCTCTCGCCCGCTGTCTCTCTTCTTTCTCACACGCGCTTTCTCTCGCTCCTCCTCTATCTCGCTCGCTTGCTATCTAAATCTCTCTCTCTCTGTCGCTTCCCCCACCCACCCCCTCCCCCTCCTCTCTCAATCTCCCCCTCACTCACTGAGCAAGATGAGCAGACAGGCGAGGATGGCGATGAGCGCGTGCACGCTGAGCCCCGCGGGCAGCACGGCGAGTGCCTGCAGGGTGCAGGCGGTGACGGCGCCGCGGCGGCTGCAGGCGCAGACGCGAACGCGCACGGTCGCCGTGCTGCTCAGGGCCCCCGGCGAGCCGGAGTCCTCCAGCACCACGGACAGCGGCAGCACCAGGCCCAGGGTGGACAGCTCCTCGGCACCACCGCGGGACAGGCGCCGACGCAGGGATAGGGAGGCCGTGCCGTCTGTGCAGGGGGGAGGGGGGGTTGGTTAAGGTGGGGAGGGAAGTGGGGGGGGCGAGGCGCTGCGAGCCCCTGCGAGCCGAGATCGATTCGGGCCCACGTGAAAGCCGACGCCGGTCACGATAATCTGAACCGGTGTGCTGCCCCCCCCCCCCCCCCCACCCACTCACCGCCGTTGATAGATTTTATTTAATCAACATTTTTATTATCATCTCAAGGGAAAATGCACCTTCCATAGCCCTTTTTGGCTGGCCATCTAACGAAGACGGTCGCTGTTTCGCGCGCTTTCAGACGCGCTTCTGCGGCCGTCTGGAACGCTCTTCCTTCCGAGATTAGAAAGTCGCTGGAGCTATGCCACTTTAAAATCTAGATTGAAAACTCGTTTTTTTTTTTTAGAAATGCTTTTTGTGTTTGGTTTGTGGTCCTTTCCCCGCACATCCGATTAGCACGGGTGGCTATGTACGGTGCTAAAGAAGTTCAACATACATACATATACAGATAAACACGATTACCTGGTGGGGTGAGAATTAACATCGTCACCAGCGAAACAAAGGCGGCCGGGCGTGGTGCTGGCCACCCACACCCTCGTGTGCCGTGAAGCCTTCGTAGGTGCTACTCGCTAACAGGACTTGCCCCGACAGTCTGCGAAGGCTATATGGGGGTTCTTTATCTTTGGGCAAGGCGGAGGCGGGGCGAAGGGAGGGCGAAGGGGGGAGGGGGAAGGTGGGGGAGGGGCACGCAAGGGGGGTACGGGGAGAAAGTGAGAACATTGTGGCCCCGGAGAGGTATGGAGATGAGGGTGTGAGTGGGAGGGGAAGGGAGAGTGATCGAGGAATGGAGGGAGGGGGGAGTGTGGGGGAGAGGGTGGGGGCTAGTGGGGGAGAGGGTGGGGGCTAGTGGGGGAGAGGGCAGAGGGTAGGGGGTGGTGGAGGGAGGGGAAAGGGATGGAGGGAGAGGTGGAGAGATGGACAATGGCAGCAATGGGGAAAGAGGAGAGACGAGGAGAGTGAAGAGGTCATCATTATCATCCAGAGGGGTTCTCCAGAGACGAGGGCCTTCATCCAGAAGTGGATTTACCATGGCCAATGATGATGATGATTGCGGGAACATGCAATTGTACTTGCCATTGATGTAATTGAGAGCTCCTGTATCTATCCACTGCTGGATGAAAAGATAGGGTAAGTGTATTCACCCCCCGACCCCCCTCCTGCCCGTCCGCCTCTGTCCTCCCAGCGGTAGAAATGGGTCCAGCAGCAACAGTTTGGGGACCGGACAGGTCGCGTGTGGTGGGGCAAAGTGTGGGTACTACGAACTCTTCCACGACGCCTGTCGCAGAGCGGAAGAGTAGGCCGATTACCTCTCCAGAGGGGCTCTAATGAGCGTCCTCTCTTGGTAAGATGGAGATATGGTGAGATAGCGTGATGATGGTGAGATGGCGTGATGGTAAGATGATGGTGTGATGGTGAGATAGTGTGATGATTGTGAGATGGCGTAGTGGTGGAATGGTGTGATGATGGTAAGACGATGTGATGGTCAGATGGTGAGATAGTGTGATGATAGTGATGGTGTCATGATGGTGGGATGGTGAGATCGTGTGATGATAGTGATGGTGTCATGATGGTGCGATGGTCAAAATTCGAAAATGGTCCGTGTGGCTGCAGCACTTACTGTGATGGTCTGTCAGCGTGAAGTTGGAGTTGGAGGACGGAGAGGAGAGCGAGATTTTGACCGGAGATGATACATGATTCTCATCTCGATCCACGGCACTGAAAGTGTGCACCGCCTGTGCATGGACAAAAAGACAAAGATCCCCCGTATAACCTTCATCAGACTGTCGGGGGCAAGTACTTTTAGTGAGCACCAATGGATGCCGGCACGGCACATGAGCGGGTGGGTGACCAGCATCACCACGCCCGGCCGCCTTTGTCATTTGAGGCCGAGTCGACCAAGGGGAGAACCACGATCGGTTCAAATAATCGTCACCGGGTGTTGGTGGCTGTGAGCGGGAATCAAATTCGTCATCGGGTTCGTAGCGCAGAGCGCTGACCACTTAGACTACCACACACGCACGCGCGTGCACGCGCACACACGAAGACAACGATCCCCTTGTGTAGCCTACGCAGGCTGTCGAGCCGAGTGATGTTAGAGACCACCTGCTACCTGCCCTCCCCATCGCCCTGCTTCACCCTCCATCCCTCAATCCCTCCCTCTATCGCTCCCATTTTCCATCCCTCCGCCACTTCTCTCCGCATGCTCCCAGCAGCAGCAGCAGCATCAGCATCGCCATCATCGGCCATGGTAAATCCACTGTTGGATGAAGGCCTGCGTCTCTGGAGAGACCCTCTAATAATAATAATAATGACTGCGTTTTTAGTTTAGTTTGTTGTCCACTCCACGCACCTCCGATAAGCACAGTTGGCTACGTACGATGCGAAATGAGTTCGGAGTTTGTGGCGTCTCTCTCTCGCTCTCTCTCCCCCTGGTCGCGTGGATTTTTCTCCGGGTCCTCCCGTTTTCCCTTCCACATTTCAAATCAACGTGACACGCTTAGAGTATGTGTCTGCTGTAGATTTCCACGTGATGATAAACCATTGCGTTGAGCCATCATGTGTGGCCAGGTCGCTTCTGAAAACGAGCTACAGAGGCTCAGTGGGCCTGACCTGGTAAAATAAAAAGTTTAGTTGAATAAATATGGCATCCTAATTTGTATTAATACTGGAGGAATCCGATTAGCTATTACGCTCTGTTTCTCATATGTCTAAGTGCACCACAGAGATAATAAAAACCTCATCACATTACCCCTCCCTCTCCTCTTCATTGCTCCCACTGTCCATCACCTTCGCCTCTCCCTCCATCCCTTCTACAGCCGCGCCGCCCCACGCCTTCGACTCCCCGCCCAACCCCGCGCCCCGCCCCCCCGCCGTACTCCACACACCCCCTGCCACGCCCCTATCATGCCCCGCCTCCCCCGTGGTCCGCACCTGACCAGGGGGCGTGTTCTCACACACCCCACCCCCCTGCCACGCACCCTATCATGCCCCGCCTCCCCCGTGGTCCGCACGTGATCAGGGGGCGTGTTCTCACACAGCACCCTCCCTGCCCCGCCCCCTATCATGCCCCGCCTCCCCCGTGGTCCGCACCTGACCAGGGGGCGTGTTCTCACGCAGCACCCTCCCTGCCACGCCCCCTATCATGCCCTGCTCCCTCGTGGTCCGCACCTGACCAGGGGGCGTGTTCTCACACAGCAACCCCTGCCACGCCCCCTATCATGCCCTGCTCCCCTATGGTCCGCACCTGACCAGGGGGCGTGTTCTCACACAGCATCATCCCTGCCACGCCCGCTATCATGCCCCGCTCCCTCGTGGTCCGCACCTGAGCAGGGGGCGTGTTCTCACACACCACCCTCCCTGCCCCGCCCCCTATCATGCCCCGCCTCCCCCGTGGTCCGCACCTGACCAGGGGGCGTGTTCTCACACAGCACCCTCCCTGCCCCGCCCCCTATCATGCCCCACCTCCCCGTGGTCCGCACCTGGCCAGGGGGCGTGTTCTCACGCAGCACCCTCCCTGCCACGCCCCCTATCATGCCCCGCCTCCCCCGTGGTCCGCACCTGACCAGGGGGCGTGTTCTCACGCAGCACCCTCCCTGCCACGCCCCCTATCATGCCCCGCTCCCTCGTGGTCCGCACCTGACCAGGGGGCGTGTTCTCACACAGCAACCCCCCCTTGCCACGCCCCCTATCATGCCCCGCCTCCCCCGTGGTCCGCACCTGATCAGGGGGCGTGTTCTCACACAGCACCCTCCCTGCCCCGCCCCCTATCATGCCCCGCCTCCCCCGTGGTCCGCACCTGACCAGGGGGCGTGTTCTCACACAGCACGAGCTCGTCGGGCCCCAGCAGCTCCGGGGCGTTGTCGTTGACGTCGAGGACTCGCACCGTGACGGGGGCGCGGCCCACCAGCGCCTGGTCGTCTGGGGGAGGGAGCGGAAGAGCGGGCGGGAAAGTGAGCGGGAAAGTGGGTGGGAGAGTGAGTGGGAGGGAAAGTGGGAGAGTGGGTGGGAGGGTGGGTGGGAGGGAAAGTGGGAGAGTGGGTGGGAGGGTGGGTGGGAGGGAAAGTGGGAGAGTGGTTGGGAGAGTGGTTGGGAGAGTGGTTGGGAGAGTGGTTGGGAGAGTGGTTGGGAGAGTGGTTGGGAGAGTGGTTGGGAGAGTGGTTGGGAGAGTGGTTGGGAGAGTGGTTGGGAGAGTGGTTGGGAGAGTGGTTGGGAGAGTGGTTGGGAGAGTGGTTGGGAGAGTGGTTGGGAGAGTGGTTGGGAGAGTGGTTGGGAGAGTGGTTGGGAGAGTGGTTGGGAGAGTGGTTGGGAGAGTGGGTGGGAGAGTGGGTGGGAGAGTGAGTGGGAGAGTGGTTGGGAGAGTGGTTGGGAGAGTGGGTAGGAGAGTGGGTGGGAGGGTGGGTGGGAGGGAAAGTGGGAGAGTGGTTGGGAGAGTGGTTGGGAGAGTGGTTGGGAGAGTGGTTGGGAGAGTGGTTGGGAGAGTGGGTGGGAGAGTGGTTGGGAGAGTGGTTGGGAGAGTGGTTGGGAGAGTGGTTGGGAGAGTGGTTGGGAGAGTGGTTGGGAGAGTGGTTGGGAGAGTGGTTGGGAGAGTGGTTGGGAGAGTGGTTGGGAGAGTGGTTGGGAGAGTGGTTGGGAGAGTGGTTGGGAGAGTGGTTGGGAGAGTGGTTGGGAGAGTGGGTGGGAGAGTGGGTGGGAGAGTGAGTGGGAGAGTGGTTGGGAGAGTGGTTGGGAGAGTGGGTAGGAGAGTGGGTGGGAGAGTGGGTGGGAGAGTGGGTGGGAGAGTGAGTGGGAGAGTGAGTGGGAGAGTGGATGGGAAGAAGAGTGGGTGGGAGAGTGCATAGGAGAGTGGGTGGGAGGGAAAGTGGGAGGAGAGTGGTTGGGAGAGTGGGTGTAAGAGCGAGTGGATGGGAGATTGAGTGGAAGAGTGAGTCGGAGAGTGAGTAGAAGAGTGGGTGGGAGAGTGGGTGGGAGAGAGTGAGTGTGTGAGTATTGTATTGGCCACCCACACCATCGATTGCGGTGCCAGCCTTCATAGGTGCTTGCTAACAGCACTTTCCCCAACAGTCCGTTCAGGCTATATTTGAAATCTTTGTCTTTGTGAGTCAGACAAGATCATCGGCCTCTGTGGAGGAGGCTCGTGAAGGACGCTACTGGGCAGTTGGAGGCAGTCTCCATTCAACAACATCGGAGGGCGGAGGAGCGACGCTCACAACAAAGCGCGGAGCGCTGTGCGGATAAAACACAGCAGGTAGGCACAGTAGGGGGCACAGGTGGTGCTCGTGCCATTCGTCTCCGTCAGTCAACCCATGCCACCTGGGTCTGTCCCGTGTCTTCCTAACGGAGAGCATTCTACAATTCGCGTGGCCTTAAAGTGCACATGATGCACCGTGGTGGCGTCACCGCCGTTTAGCAGCAACTGGCGGTTGTTGTTGTTTGAGAGAGTGAGTGTGTGAGAGAGAGAGAGAGAGTGTGTGTGAGAGAGAGTGAGTGTGTGAGAATAGAGTGTGAGAGAGAGTGTGAGAAAGAGAGTGTGAGAGAGTGAGAGGGTGAGAGAGTGAGAGAGTGAGAGTGTGAGAGAGAGTGTGAGAGAGAGATTGTGAGAGAGTGTGAGAGAGAGTGTGAGAGAGTGAGTGTGAGTAAGAGAGAGTGTGAAGATCCATGGGTGACCGCGCGACGCGGTGTGACTCCGTGACGAGGTGTGACTGTGACGAGGTGTGATGGTGGTGCGAGGCGGTGTGACTCTGTGACGCGGTGTGACTCTGTGACACATTGTGACTCTGTGACGAGGTGTGACTCTGTGACGCGGTGTGACTCTGTGACGAGGTGTGACTCTGTGACGCGGTGTGACTCTGTGACGCGGTGTGACTCTGTGACGAGATGTGACTCTGTGACGAGGTGTGACGGTGGTGCGACACGGTGTGACTCTGTGACGCATTGTGACTCTGTGACGAGGTGTGACTCTGTGACGTATTGTGAATCTGTGACGAGGTGTGACTCTGTGACGCATTGTGACTCTGTGACGAGGTGTGACTCTGTGACGTATTGTGAATCTGTGACGAGGTGTGACTGTGACGAGGTGTGACTCTGTGACACGGTGTGACTCTGTGACGAGGTGTGACTCTGTGACACGGTGTGACTCTGTGACGAGGTGTGACTCTGTGACGAGGTGTGACTCTGTGACGCGGTGTAGCTCTGTGACGCGGTGTGACTCTGTGACGAGGTGTGACTCTGTGACGAGGTGTGACTCTGTGACGTGGTGTGACTCTGTGACCCGATGTGACTCTGTGACGAGGTGTGACTCTGTGACGAGGTGTGACTCTGTGACGCGATGTGACTCTGTGACGCGGTGTGATTCTGTGACGAGGTGTGACTCTGTGACGCGGTGTGACTCTGTGACGAGGTGTGACTCTGTGACGAGGTGTGACTCTGTGACGCGATGTGACTCTGTGACGCGGTGTGATTCTGTGACGAGGTGTGACTCTGTGACGCGGTGTGACTCTGTGACGAGGTGTGACTCTGTGACGAGATGTGACTCTGTGACGCATTGTGACTCTGTGACGCGGTGTGACTCTGTGACGCGGTGTGACTCTGTGACGAGGTGTGACTCTGTGACGAGGTGTGACTCTGTGACGCGGTGTGACTCTGTGACGAGGTTTGACTCTGTGACGAGGTGTGACTCTGTGACGAGGTGTGACTCTGTGACGTGATGTGACTCTGTGACGCGGTGTGACTCTGTGACGAGGTGTGACTCTGTGACGAGGTGTGACTGTGACGAGGTGTGACTGTGACGAGGTGTGACTCTGTGACGAGGTGTGACTCTGTGACGAGGTGTGACTCTGTGACGCATTGTGACTCTGTGACGAGGTGTGACTCTGTGACACGGTGTGACTCTGTGACACATTGTGACTCTGTGACACGGTGTGACTCTGTGACGCGGTGTGACTCTGTGACGCGGTGTGACTCTGTGACGAGGTGTGACTCTGTGACACGGTGTGACTCTGTGACGAGGTGTGACTGTGACGAGGTGTGACTCTGTGACACGGTGTGACTCTGTGACGAGGTGTGACTCTGTGACGTATTGTGACCCTGTGACGCGGTGTAGCTCTTTGACGCATTGTGACTCTGTGACGAGGTGTGACTCTGTGACGAGGTGTGACTCTGTGACACATTGTGACTCTGTGACGCATTGTGACTCTGTGACACATTGTGACTCTGACGCTTTGTGACTGTGACGAGGTGTGACTCTGACGCATTGTGACTCTGTGACGAGGTGTGACCATGCCAGACGGTGTGACGCTCACCAGCCTGCGTGGCGATCACCGTGATGTTGAAGACCTCGGTGGACTCGCGATCGAGAGGCCGAGCGACAGTGAGGACGCCCGTCAGGGGGTCCACGTCGAAGTGACGGTCGACGTCCGTGTTGCGATCGATCGAGTAGCTGCACACACAAACACACACACACACCGACACGAACACACACACACCGACACGAACACACACACACACACCGACACAAATACACACACACACACCGACACAAACACACACACCGACACGAACACACACACACACACCGACACGAGCACACACACACACACCGACACAAATACACACACACCGACACGAACACACACACACACCGACACGAACACACACACACCGACACGAACACACACACACACACACACCGACACGAACACAAACACCGACACGAACACACACACACCGACACGAACACACACACACCGACACAAATACACACACACACACCGACACAAACACACACCGACACGAACACACACACACACACACCGACACGAACACACACACCGACACAAACACCGACACGAACACACACACCGACACAAATACACACACACACACCGACACAAACACACACACCGACACGAACACACACACACCGACACGAACACACACACCGACACAAACACCGACACGAACACACACACACCGACACAAATACACACACACACACCGACACAAACACACACACACCGACACGAACACACACACACACACCGACACGAACACACACACACCGACACGAACACACACACACACACCGACACGAACACACACACACACACACCGACACGAACACACACACCAACACACACACACACACCGACACGAACACACACACACAAGGGGGAGACATAAATCAGTATAACAGCTCTCTAACCCTTCCAGAAATGCATTTAAAATGTAACAACAACATAATCGCCAATAACTTTGCACGTGGCTTTTAAAAGATAGAAAAAAAAAACCCGGATATAGTTGGCGACGTTTCGGATAATGCCCCTTCTTCAGGGCACATCGAAATGTCAAACGATCATCGTTTACTGACGGGCGGCTAAGTGCTGCGTCATATCCACGTCGACGCACCCAGCAGATGCGTGACAGCGGGTGTTATTAAATATGAATAGCAAACACTTCATCACAACCGGGAGTACAAACACAGCAATCATCGTTACCCTACCGACGGCAGGCTAATGCCAACCCCGTGGAGGAGGAGGAGGAGGAGGGAGGGAGGGGTCATTCTTGCGGTCTATCGTGAGCGCTCACCTGGTTACGAGAGCAACTACAGCATCAACTCGACAGACTTAAGATACATCTTCTTTGGTTCTTTCGGTAAAGTCACGTAGAATGAGAATAACATAATAAATTGATAAAATAACTCAATAATATTCTCACGACGTTTCGGCCACAACACAAGCGGCCTTCATCAGGTGAAGGAGGCGAGACTGTCTGGTAGGACAGCGCTGGAGTGTCCTACCAGACAGTCTCGCCCCCTTCACCTGATGAAGGCCGCTTGTGTTGTGGCCGAAACGTCGTGAGAATATTATTGTGTTATTTTATTTTATCAATTTATTATTTTATTATCATTCTACGTGACTTTACCGAAAGAACCAAAGAAGATGAATCATTGCAGTCACGAAAGCTTTAAATCGAGACTTAAGATAGTCTAATCGCTGCCACCATCTCGGCCCCGCCGTGGCGATATGTAACCACCTCGCCCGGTACGCACGAGGTCGTGGGTTCGATCCCAAACCTGACGCCTGCTGTATATATTTGGAGTTTTGCGTGTTCAATCTCTCTCCGACGTAGTCGCGTGGATTTTACTCCGGGTCCTCTGGGGATTTTCCCCGCCACATCTGGAATGAACATCACGCGTTCAGAGTATTTGGCTGCTACAAATGTCCACGTGATGATACGTTACTTAATTGGGCTATCATTCGCGAGCAGGTCGCTTCTGAACAAGAGCTACATAGCTCAGAGGGGCCGTTACCAGGTAAAAACATTTTTTTTATGTTATAGGAGTCTAAGTACTGTTAGCGAGACAGTTGGTGGTCAACACCACGCCCGGCCGCCTTTGTCTCCCCAGTGGCGATGTTCGCACACTGCACTCGGTACTCATTTGAGGCTGAGTCGAACTAGGGGAAGCCCAGGACCGGTTCGGATAATCGTCACCGGTGCTGGTGGTCGTGAGCGGCGATCGAACACGGGTGGCCAAGTTCGTAGCGCGGTGCGCTAACCACTACGCCACCGCTCCCCACACATAGAAACTACCAAATATATATATATTTTTATTTTACAGGGTAAGGCCCACTGATCTATATCGCTATTTTTCAGAAGCGACCTGGCCACAAATGACAGCTCAACAAAGTAGCTTATCAGGTGGAATTATATAAATACTCTAAAACGCATGTTTCTCGATGTGGAAGGAAAACCCGGAGGACCCGGAGAAAAATCCACGCGACCACGGGCAGAGTGAGAGAGAGAGAGAGACACACAAACTCCAAATATACAGCAGCAGGCGTCAGGGTTGCGATCGAACCCACGACCTCCTTCATACCGGGCGAGGTAGATAACATCTTAGCCACCCTGATGATGATGAGAGAGAGAGAGACACGCAAACTCCAAATATAGGCTCGTGATCGAACCCACGACGTCCTGCATACCAGCCGACGTGGTTAACATCTCATAGCCACCGTGGCGCCTTAGACGTGTACGCACGCGCGCGCGTACCACCACGGACGCACGCGCGCGCACAGACGCACATCGAAGAGGTGCGGTGGGGGAGGGCGGTGTGGAACTGCCATCAAAGCGAGGTTCGCCGAGATGCTGTTGTGGGACAGCCTCCCAGTATCTGCCTAATTAATCGGAATGCGGCTACACTTGCTGGAGCAATTTGTCGCTGCGGGCTTGAGAAATGGCCACGGGAGCACCAGCGGGAGAGCGGTGGGGGGGACGAGGGAGCGTGGCTGGGGAGAGATAAATGGTAGAGGGAGAGAGAGGGAATCAAGCTGCGGTAACCGTGGGGGTTCGTGTGCTACGTGTTCAGCAATTACACAACACACGCTACGTGTTATAACATGTACACAACACACGCTACGTGTTATAACATATACACAACACACGCTACGTGTTATAACATATACACTAGACGCTACGTGTTATAACCTATACACTACACGCTACGTGTTATAACCTGTACACAACACACGCTACGTGTTATAACATATACACTACACGCTACGTGTTATAACCTGTACACAACACACGCTACGTGTTATAACCTGTACACAACACACACTACGTGTTATAACCTGTACACAACACGCTACGTGTTATAACCTGTACACTACACACGCTAAGTGTTATAACCTGTACACAACACACACTACGTGTTATAACCTGTACACAACACGCTACGTGTTATAACCTGTACACAACACACGCTAAGTGTTATAACATATACACTACACACGCTACGTGTTATAACCTGTACACAACACACGCTAAGTGTTATAACATATACACTACACACGCTACGTGTTATAACCTGTACACAACACACGCTACGTGTTATAACCTGTACACAACACACGCTACGTGTTATAACCTGTACACTACACACGCTACGTGTTATAACCTGTACACAACACACGCTACGTGTTATAACCTGTACACAACACACGCTACGTGTTATAACCTGTACACAACACACGCTACGTGTTATAACCTGTACACAACACACGCTACGTGTTATAACCTGTACACAACACACGCTACGTGTTATAACCTGTACACTACACACGCTACGTGTTATAACCTGTACACAACACACGCTACGTGTTATAACCTGTACACAACACGCTACGTGTTATAACCTGTACACAACACACGCTACGTGTTATAACCTGTACACAACACACGCTACGTGTTATAACCTGTACACTACACACGCTACGTGTTATAACCTGTACACAACACACGCTACGTGTTATAACCTGTACACAACACGCTACGTGTTATAACCTGTACACAACACACGCTACGTGTTATAACCTGTACACAACACACGCTACGTGTTATAACCTGTACACAACACACGCTACGTGTTATAACCTGTACACAACACACGCTACGTGTTATAACCTGTACACAACACACGCTACGTGTTATAACCTGTACACAACACACGCTACGTGTTATAACCTGTACACAACACACGCTACGTGTTATAACCTGTACACAACACACGCTACGTGGTATAACCTGTACACAACACACGCTAAGTGTTATAACATATACACTACACACGCTACGTGTTATAACCTGTACACAACACACGCTACGTGTTATAACCTGTACACAACACACGCTACGTGTTATAACCTGTACACTACACACGCTACGTGTTATAACCTGTACACAACACACGCTACGTGTTATAACCTGTACACTACACGCTACGTGTTATAACCTGTACACAACACACGCTACGTGTTATAACCTGTACACAACACGCTACGTGTTATAACCTGTACACAACACACGCTACGTGTTATAACCTGTACACAACACACGCTACGTGTTATAACCTGTACACAACACACGCTACGTGTTATAACCTGTACACTACACACGCTACGTGTTATAACCTGTACACAACACACGCTACGTGTTATAACCTGTACACAACACACGCTACGTGTTATAACCTGTACACAACACACGCTACGTGTTATAACCTGTACACAACACACGCTACGTGTTATAACCTGTACACAACACACGCTAACGTGTTATAACCTGTACACAACACACGCTACGTGTTATAACCTGTACACAACACACGCTACGTGTTATAACCTGTACACAACACACGCTACGTGTTATAACCTGTACACAACACACGCTACGTGTTATAACCTGTACACAACACACGCTACGTGTTATAACCTGTACACAACACACGCTACTTGTTATAACCTGTACACTACACGCTACGTGTTATAACCTGTACACAACACACGCTACGTGTTATAACCTGTACACAACACGCTACGTGTTATAACCTGTACACAACACACGCTACGTGTTATAACCTGTACACAACACACGCTACGTGTTATAACCTGTACACAACACACGCTACGTGTTATAACCTGTACACTACACACGCTACGTGTTTATAACCTGTACACAACACACGCTACGTGTTATAACCTGTACACAACCCGCTACGTGTTATAACCTGTACACAACACACGCTACGTGTTATAACCTGTACACAACACACGCTACGTGTTATAACCTGTACACAACACACGCTACGTGTTATAACCTGTACACAACACACGCTACGTGTTATAACCTGTACACAACACCCGCTACGTGTTATAACCTGTACACAACACACGCTACGTGTTATAACCTGTACACAACACACGTTACGTGGTTATAACCTGTACACAACACACGCTACGTGTTATAAACCTGTACACAACACACGCTACGTGTTATAACCTGTACACAACACACGCTACGTGTTATAACCTGTACACAACACACGTTACGTGTTATAACCTGTACACAACACACGCTACGTGTTATAACCTGTACACAACACACGCACCGTGTTATAACCTGTACACAACACACGCTACGTGTTATAACCTGTACACAACACACGCTACGTGTTATAACCTGTACACAAACACACGCTACGTGTTATAACCTGTACACAACACACGCTACGTGTTATAACCTGTACACAACACACGCTACGTGTTATAACCTGTACACAACACACGCTACGTGTTATAACCTGTACACAACACACGCTAAGTGTTATAACCTGTACACAACACACGCTACGTGTTATAACCTGTACACAACACACGCTACGTATTATAACCTGTACACAACACACGCTACGTGTTATAACCTGTACACAACACACGCTACGTGTTATAACCTGTACACAACACACGCTACGTGTTATAACCTGTACACAACACACGCTACGTGTTATAACCTGTACACAACACACGCTACGTGTTATAACCTGTACACAACACACGCTACGTGTTATAACCTGTACACTACACACGCTACGTGTTATAACCTGTACACAACACACGCTACGTGTTATAACCTGTACACAACACACGCTACGTGGTATAACCTGTACACAACACACGCTACGTGTTATAACCTGTACACTACACACGCTAAGTGTTATAACCTGTACACAACACACGCTACGTGTTATAACCTGTACACAACACACGCTACGTGTTATAACCTGTACACAACACACGCTACGTGTTATAACCTGTACACAACACACGCTACGTGTTATAACCTGTACACAACACACGCTACGTGTTATAACCTGTACACTACACGCTACGTGTTATAACCTGTACACAACACACGCTACGTGTTATAACCTGTACACAACACACGCTACGTGTTATAACCTGTACACAACACACGCTACGTGTTATAACCTGTACACAACACACGCTACGTGTTATAACCTGTACACAACACACGCTAAGTGTTATAACCTGTACACAACACACGCTACGTGTTATAACCTGTACACAACACACGCTACGTATTATAACCTGTACACAACACACGCTAAGTGTTATAACCTGTACACAACACACGCTACGTGTTATAACCTGTACACAACACACGCTACGTATTATAACCTGTACACAACACACGCTAGGTGTTATAACCTGTACACAACACACGCTACGTGTTATAACCTGTACACAACACACGCTACGTGTTATAACCTGTACTCAACACACGCTACGTGTTATAACCTGTACACAACACACGCTACGTTTTATAACCTGTACACTACACGCTACGTGTTATAACCTGTACACTACACACGCTACGTGTTATAACCTGTACACTACACACGCTACGTGTTAAAACCTGGACACTACACGCTATGTGTTATAACCTGTACACTACACGCTACGTGTTATAACCTGTACACAACACACGCTACGTGTTATAATCTGTACACTACACGCTACGTGTTATAACCTGGACACTACACGCTACGTGTTATAACCTGGACACTACACGCTACGTGTTATAACCTGGACACTACACGCTACGTGTTATAACCTGGACACTACACGCTACGTGTTACAACCTGTACACAACACACGCTACGTGTTATAACCTGGACCCTACACGCTACGTGTTATAACCTGGACACTACACGCTACGTGTTATAACCTATACACTACTCGCTACGTGTTACAATCTGTACACTACACGCTACCTGTTATAACCTGGACACTACACGATACGTGTTATAACCTGGACACTACACGATACGTGTTATAACCTGGACACTACACGCTACGTGTTATAACATATACACTGGATTGGTGGGTGAGTGGGTTGGTGGGTGAGTGGACTGGTGGGTGAGTGGGCTGGTGGGTGAGTGGGCTGGTGGGAGAGTGGGTTGGTGGGTGGGTTAGGGGGTTGGTGGGTGAGTGGGTTGGTTGGTGAGTGGGCTGGTGGGTGAGTGGGCTGGTGGGAGAGTGGGTTGGTGGGTTCGTGGGTTGGTGGGTGAGTGGGTTGGTTGGTGAGTGGGCTGGTGGGAGAGTGGGTTGGTGGGAGAGTGGGTTGGTGGGTTGGTGGGTGAGTGGAGTGAATCGGTGAGATAAGTTCACGGGAACAGTCGTCATGGTAGTAGCGACATGAGAATGATTGGGTGGGTGGGTGGGTGGCATTGATATCATAGGGAAACGAATGATCTATCATGTCAATGATGTTCCAGTTGGATTCCATTGCTGCAGTGATGGGTATTAGTGCAGAGGTGGCCTTGGTGGCTCAGAGATCAGAGACGCCGAGCCACGTCTCAGCCGAAGCACCATAGAGTTGACACGGGTGTCCAGGTGAAGCACGGACACCAACGACTCGCATAGAGACCCATAGACTCACAAAGACACCCATAGACTCACATAGAGACCCACAAACTTCTTGAGACCCACAGACTCACAAAGACACCCATAGACTCGCATAGAGACCCATAGACTCATTTAGGGCCCCACAAACTTCTTGAGACCCATAGACTCACAAAGACACCCATAGACTCACATAGAGACCCATAGACTCATAAAGGGCCCCACAAACTTCTTGAGACCCATAGACTCACAAAGACGCCAATAGACTCACATAGAGACCCAGAGACTTGCATAGAGACCCATAGAGTCGTATAGAGACCCATATACTCGCAAAGACACCCATAGATTTCACACAGAGACCCATAGCGGCAGTGACCTGTCTGTGCGCTGGGAAAGAGGGTCATTCCACGAAACGGCGTGTATTATAAATTTTAGTGCCACAAAATAAGGCGTACGCCTTTTGGCGTCATCTGGTCGAGCACCAAATGGGTCGAGGCTCAAAAGAAACCCGTCCCTTGGTGTGGACCAATCAGTTTCAAGGAGAATGCATATATTATCAAAGTATGTTTTTTGTTTGCATTTTGACTGCAGGTATTGTGGTTAATGCAGACATGAATCCTCGTAAAAAGGTTTCAGTTTTGTTGCCAGGAAAAAAGGGGAAAAACCCTATTATTACATTTTGGTACTGGCAAAGGAGGTCTAATGATCTTGTTGTTATTGTTGTTGTTAATTGTGTTTGCGCACCGCCGCCATAATATTGTTTGGCGGAGTCATCCCCTTTTGAAGTGGAGGCGAGACCCATCTCTCCTCTCATCTCCTCATGTCGGTGATGTGGAGCGCGTCTTTTTCGAACGCTGGGGAGCCGGACAAGCCCCTCTCTGTACCAGCGTGGACGGCACCCTCTTCATGTTCATCTTCTGAAGCGCTCGCTCGTCAACGTGGCGTGCGAGATTACCACGACCACCACCACGTGACTTTTCTTTTGTGTAGTGCGCGGTGCATTTAGAGCCACAGCGCGTGGATTTACAGCGTGTATTTGTGTTGCTGGTGACTTTGTGTATTTCATATCGGAATCGCCTCCAGTGCTGTTGCTGCTGGCGGCAATAAAAGTTGTTTAAAAGTCAAAAGTCTCCGCTCTCTCTCCGCTCTCTCTCCGCTCTCTCTCCTTTCTCTCTCCGCTCTCTCTCCGCACTCTCTCCTTTCTCTCTCTCCGCTCACCGCACGGGTCGGGCCGCTGCGTCGGGGTCCAGGGCCGTGACCGTGCCGAGGGGGTGCCGTGGCCCCTGGCTCTCGGCCACCTCGAACTCGTAGGCGGCCGGGGAGAAGACGGGGCCCTCGTCCGCGTCCTCCACGCTCACGAGGATGCGCGCGGAGCCCGCCAGAGGCACCGCCGCCGTGGAGCCACCGCTGCCCGAGCTGCCGCCTCCCGCCACCGGGTTCCACGCTTCCACGGTGAGCGTGTAGGCGTGCTTGCGCTCGTAGTCGAGCGGCTGTGGGTGGGTCGGTGGGTGGTGACGGTGGGCAGGAGTAGGTGGTGGTGGTGGGGAGGAGTAGGTGGTGGTGGGGAGGAGTAGGTGGTGGTGGGGAGGAGTAGGTGGAGCGGGTGGGTTGTGGTGGTGATGGTGGGAAGGAGATGGTTGTGGTGAGAGAAGGTGGTGGTGGTGGTGGGGAGGAGCAGGTGGAGCGTGTGGGTTGTGGTGGTGATGGTGGGAAGGAGATGGTTGTGGTGAGAGAAGGTGGTGGTGGTGGGGAGGAGTAGGTGGTGGTGGGGAGGAGCAGGTGGAGCGGGTGGGTTGTGGTGGTGATGGTGGGAAGGAGATGGTTGTGGTGAGAGACGGTGGTGGTAGTGGAAGTGGTGGTGGATAGGAGGTGGTGGTGATGATGGAGAGGAGGTGGAGCGGGGTGGTGGTAGTGGTGTGGAGGTGGTGGTGGGAACATGTGGTGGTGTGGACGATGGTGGTTTTGATGGTTTAACGGTGGTTGTTGATGTTTCGGGGTGGTTGATGTTGTTGGTGGTTGGCAGTGGTTGGTGATGGACATGAGTTGGTGGTAAGTGGGGACAGAAAATAGCAACACAAAATATTCATAAACAACATCATCATCATCATCACTGTCACCATCATGATCGCAATGATTATCAGCACCACCATACTTTACCATCACCGTAATTATCAGCATTACCGTCATCATCATCAGCACCACTGTCTTTTACCACCCTCATCATCATCGACCTATCGCCCTTGTCTAATCATGTCACCTTGTCCTAGCAGCCAACATCCCTTGCTGCCTCCTTGCCCTACAAACACCTTCCCTCCCTCTTCTCCCTCTTGCCTTCTCTCCTCCTCCCCTCTCCCCTCCCCTCTTCCTCCCCCCGCCTATCCCTCCCATATCCTGCGGCACAGCAACGCTGCAACACTTTGAATCCTCTACACCCGTCATTAAATATTAGCGCGTGGCATTTCCATATTGGCGTGAGAAACGCGACTTGGGAGTGCGTGGGGATTTTTTTTTTTTGTTGGGGCGTGGGGAGTGAGGTGGGGGTTATCGGGCCATGATGATGCCTGAAGGAGAGCCCAGTTGTTGTGCGTCTAGTTAACGAAGGGGGGGGGGGGGAGGAGCAGGGTAATTAACATCAAAGGCTTTAGTGAGCGTCTTCGATACACGGGGCTCACTCGGGAGAGAGAGGGAGAGAGGGAGCTTGCGGTGGTGGAGTGGTTCGAGAATAGAGGTCATCAAGGGTCATGTGTGGTTACAGCTGTGGAGAGGAGATGCACGCGGTTGTGTGCGTGTGTACGTGTGGAGCGGTGGCACATTGGTTAGCGCTCTGAACTCGGCGACCCGAGTTTGAGTCCTCACTCACGGCCACCGACACGCCGGTGGCAAATGAATTGAACCGGTCCTAGGCCACCGCCTTAGGTCGTCTCAGCCTCAAATTATTACCTGGTGTGGTGTGCAAACATTGCCACTGGGGATACAAAGGCGGACGGGCATGGTGTTGGCCACCCACCCCCTCGTGTGCCGTGTCGGCCTTCGTAGGTGCTCGCTACCAGCACTTGCCACGACAGTCTGTTAACTCTGTACGGACAAATCGTTGTCTTTGTTCACATACAAAGGCAAAGATCACCCACATAGCCTTGACATACTGTTGGAGGCAAGTGCTGTTAGCACATTTTTTAGAAGTGGAGAGCGGTAGCGTCGTAGCGGCTGGCATGACTCACAGTTCGATTACCCGGTCACGGCCACCAACACCAGTGACGAGCATCTGAACCGGTCCTAGGTCATCCCCTAGGTCTACTCAGCCTTAAATGAGTACCAGGTGTGCTGTGTAATAATTTGTCACTGATAGGGCAAACGCGGGCCCCGGTGTGTTCCTCGCCGCTCCCGGCCACCTGATTTATGAATTAGGCGCGCATTAAATCACGTTTGTCTATATGCATGCAGGAATGCATCGATATTTCTTGTAACCGTTTGACCACGTGCGTTCACGCACAAACTGCAAAGATACGACGCGTAGCCTTTCCCAGGCTGTTGGGGCAAGCGCTTTGAGATTGTTCGGCTGCTACGTATATATTCCACGTGGTAAGGCCACTTCGTTGAGCTATCAATTTGTGGCCAGGTCGCTTTTGAAAAAGATCTCTGTAGCTCAGTGGGCCCTACCTGGTGAAATAAACAGATATGTATGTAGGTGATTTGTCTACCTTTCCTATACTTTACACTCCTATCGTGTTTTCGTATTGTTTGTTGTTCTAACTTTCTGACCCTAGAGTCCTTACTGGACATCTGTGAAAAATCGCTTCATAGCTCGTCGAATTCCTCGAGTAAAAATACAGATTCTACTGTTGGCGGGCTCCGATGAAATGCTGGTGCAGCACACGAGAACACACACACAGCACTCACTCACTCACTGGCATGTATATGTACGCGACAAACAAAAACAAACCTCCCCCGCAGAGCTGAACAGACTGTTGGGACAAGTGTTGTTAGCGAGCAGCACCAATGTAAGCGACGAACACGTATACACATTTATGCAGTCTGCATGCATTCATTCACACATCACGCACACACATTTCCAACATCATCAGCTACATCCTCATTATTTACGTCAGCATCACCGCCATCACCACCATCGCAAGGACAATCATCACCACCTCCATTAACTACACCACCACCACCACCTAATACATTACGTTTCACTCTCGATTTATAGTGCTAATTAAAAAATATAATATAGTTTAAGACCCTGGCGTCTTTCCCAAGTCGTAATTTGTTAAATATAATTAAACCATTATTTATAACACAGTGAGAGCCAACGGAATCAAGAAACGTATTTTATTTCGATGCAAGGGACATACAGGGGATAGAGTAGGAGGGGGGAGATGAGGAGGAGGGGTGGTGGAGGGAGGAGAGAGCAGGGGGTGCGAGGATGGATGAGGGGTGGGAGACGAGGAGATGGTGGTGGAGGAAGGAGAGAGCAGGGGTAGGTGGAGGGAGGATGGAGGAGGGGGTGGGAGACGAGGAGGAGTTGGAGGGAGGATGGAGGAGGGGGGATGCTTATTTGATAATTGATTTAGTGGTGGATTAACATCTAACTCTGATCTTTCCTCTCGTTGCACACAAAGCGTCATGGACACACAAATCTTCATTCACAAATCAAGTTCCTGAAGTGGGAGGGGGTCGGCTGGTCCAGAGGTCAGAGGCGGAGAGCCGGCATTCTCGAGGCCTAGGTTCTAATCCGGGAGTCATCCGCTCAACCACAGCGATTTAAAAGTGTAGTGAATTGATGACCACAGCCCGGTCATCAATAACTGCCATAGAGGAGACCCATAGACTCACTTAGAGATCCACAGACTCACATAGAGATCCACAGACTCGCATAGACATTCATCGACTCAAACAGAGCACCATAATCGCGCATAAAGATCAACAGGCTCACAAAGAGACCCGCAGACTCGCAGAGAGAACCAGAGACTCGCATAGAGATTCATAGATTTACATAAACACGTGCACAGACGTATCGATCACATATATTGCACCATGTACTCATTCAATGCTGAATGGACCTAGGGGATGCCCCGGAACGGTTCAGATAATCGTCAGCAATGTTGGTGGCTGTGAGCGGGAATCGAACTCGGGTTGCCGGGATCGTAGGAGCAGCGCGCTAACCGCTGCACCACCGCTCCAAAAGACAAAGAACTCCCTCGAGCCTCAGTAGACTGAGTGAGGCAATCGCCGTTCGCGAGCACCGATGAAGAACGAAATGGCACACGAGGGGGGGGCGGGGGTGGGGGCGAGGGGACAGGGGTGGGGGGGACACCGTACCCGATAGCCTAACCCCAACATGCGCACACACACAAACAACATTATCCAAAGGTCAACTCCACAAAAGCCTCAATCACCCTCAATTTAGTCTCGTAATTAAATTATCATCGATTCGGGGGGTGGGACTCCTCAAAGATCCACAAAGCGGTCGCTCATTTCTCTACTTACCTTCCACCCCCCCCCCCCCCCCGCAGTGATAATTCCAGTTTGGAAAATGTCTCTTGAATTGACATAGGTTGTAATGAGCGTTGTGCGCGTGTTTCTCTGTGTGTGCGTGGAGCGGGGGTGCAGTGGTTAGCGCGTTGTGTCTGCGTGGAGTGGGGGTGCAGTGGTTAGCGCGTTGTGTCTGCGTGGAGTGGGGGTGCAGTGGTTAGCGCGTTGTGTGTGTGTATGGAGTGGTGTGCAGTGGTTAGCGCGTTGTGTGTGCGTGTGGAGTGGGGGTGCAGTGGTTAGCGCGTTGTGTGTGTATGGAGTGGTGTGCAGTGGTTAGCGCGTTGTGTGTGTATGGAGTGGTGTGCGGTGGTTAGCGTTGTGTGTGCGTGGAGCGGGGGTGCAGTGGTTAGCGCGTTGTGTGTATGGAGTGGTGTGCAGTGGTTAGCGCGTTGTGTGTGCGTGGAGCGGGGGTGCAGTGGTTAGCGCTACGCTGCGCTAAACCTGAACCCGGCAGCGACCCGAGGTCGATTCCCGCTCACGGCTGAAACCCAATGCCAGCGACGATTATTTGAACCGATCGTCGGGCCCTCCCCTAGGTTGCCTCAGCCGAAACATCGCTGCTGGGGAGACAATGGGCGGCCGGGCGTGGTGTGCTGGCCACGTCACTCCCGTCGTGTGCCCGTGCCGGCCTTCACGGGTGCTACTCGCTAACAGCACTTGCCCCAACAGTCTGTCGAGGCAATGCGGGAGTTCTTTGTCTTTGTTTAAGCGGGTAGGCTCGTGAAGGACGAGGCTCGCGAAGGACGAGGCTCGTGAAGGAGGAGGCTCGTAAAGGAGGAGGCTCGTGAAGGAGGAGGCTCGTGAAGGAGGAGGCTCGTGAAGGAGGAGGCTCGTGAAGGAGGAGGCTCGTGAAGGACGAGGCTCGTGAAGGAGGAGGCTCGCGAATGACGAGGCTCGTGAAGGAGGAGGCTCGCGAAGGAGGAGGCTCGTGAAGGAGGAGGCTCGTAAAGGATGAGGC